AATACTACTTGCCCTCATCTAATTACTTGCCCTCATCTAATTAATTTCTATTCATTTATAAGCCATGGAACTTCATATACAGCATTTGGCAAAGTTTCATGATTCCATAACTTGAAATAATTTAAAACTTTATTATATTTTTACTTCTTTTATCAAATAAAAAATGCATTTCAATGTAATTGATTAGATATAATCAATAGAAAAAAGTTTTCTCCTGGAATTGAAATTTCATTGTTTATATACAAATGATATTTCACATATCTCCATTTATACAGTGTTTTATGCTCAGTTTATTTTACATGTTCAATCACTTTTATAGTTTATGGAATTAATCTGTCATCTTTAAAAACTGAACATTTTCTCTGTTATAAAACTAAGGGAAAGGCCAGGTGAGGTAGCTCATGCCTGTAATCTTAGCACTCTGGGAGGCTGAGGCCGGAGGATCGCTTGAGCCCAGGAGTTGGAGGCTGCTGTGAGCTAGGCCGACGCCACGGCGCTCACTCTCGCCTGGGCAACAGAGTGAGACTCTGTCTCTAAAACGGAAAAACCAGAATTAACTATCACAAGCAGCAGCACTGTGAGAGCTGGGCAGTGGCTGGGGGAACCGCGGTTCTCCTCTGTTCTCACGCTCAGTGCAGACTACCTCGCCTCTGGTCACAATGTGTGGGGACTTCTCCCCACGGACAGCCAGGTCTCCTCTAACCCAAGTCAGTTCTGACACTGCCTACTTCGGATGGCGTCAGACCCAGGGGGTGGGTGGCGAGGGCTCAGTCCCGGGTTGTGGCGGTGTCCCCCAGCTTGACTAATTTGCTGGAGAGGCTCATGGAACTCAGGGGAACGCTTGGCTTACACTCCCCCCCTGGTCACACAGGACATCGCAAAGGATGCCAAAGAAGAGACCCGCAGTTCACGTGTGGGGGAAGCGCCCTCTTCCGCGCCCTCCCAGGGCCGCCGCGGGCCGGGGTCTGGCAGCCCCGGATGTCTATGGAGGCTTCGCCCTCTGGCCCGCCCTCGGCGCCTCTCCTCTGCCCAGAGGCTGCAAGTCCCAGCGCTCTGACCACAGGGCAGCCTCCCCTGGCCTGGCCGGCCAGCAACCCCGCGAGTCTCCTCTTTACAACGTGCGCTCTGTCACCCAGAGATCCCAAGGGATTTAGCAGCCCCGGGTCACCGCTCCTGTCACTCAGGAAATTGCAACGGTCTTAGGAGCTTTGTATCAGGAACTGGAGGCAGAGGCCAAATACACATTTCTTATTACTAATACATCATAATGCCCTGGGCTTCGGTGGAGGGGCAGAATGTTCCCATCTGTGGCCTGGCTCTGAGCAGCAGTGGCCTCCACAGACTGGCCCTGTGGGTCATAGCCAGAGGTCGTCCCAGGGGAGGCCTGGGTGGCACACGACCCCAGTGGTTGGGGCATGTCACCCAGTGCCTTGGCGCCTGAGCCCCAGAACATCTGGTGTGAACCCCCGGGCGTGCAGCGGGAAAGACCACTCAGTGAATGAAGGCTCGGAATAAAAGGTAGTACACCAATAGGTTTTAACTATACTTATTTAAAGTGTTGTGTTTCTTTTCTTTTCTTTCTTTTTTTTTTTGCCACAATACAACACAATCTTGGAAAAGAAAGAGCCACTGTCCTGGCCCACTGGGTCTATGAGCTGAGTGGCCTGGATGCCAGAGTTGGAGAGCAGGCAGGTGGCCCCGAAGGAGTCCCTGGGACTGTGCCTTCCCAGGTGTGACAAAAGAAGGAGCTGGCCGAGGTGCACCAAGTGCTTGCAGTTGCTCACCCAAGGGCAGGTTCAGAGATAACTGTAGCTAAGAGCAGGAGTCCCAAGGAGGGGCAGAAAGGAGGGGACACAGCCCCAAGGTTTCCTTCCATATGATTTGTAACGGAGTAGGAGCAGGAGACAGGAGACCCTGGTATGGGACAGCCCCCCATGGCAGAGGCTCCTCCCTGCACCCAGAGCTTGCAGGGCTCACACCCCCCACCCCCGGAGAAAAGCCATGTCCTCACAGGTCTGGGGCACCGAGGAGGAAGCTGCCAGTAGCAGCCCTAGGGCCCGTGTCCTTGGGCCCCAGCACCCGGCCGGCAGCAGATACGCCCAACTGGCTTCTCTGCATGGGAGGAAGAGTGTGAGGTACGGCGCCAAGAGAGGAGAAGGGAGGACTTTTCCTCTGAGGAGGGAGAATCCCAGGTGCAGGATCCTGGCTGACGTCATGTCGCTGAGTCGGGGCCAGGCCCTGTGGGCAGCAGACACCTCTACAGGTGGTAGGAGGAGCACCAACTGGTCAGCTGGCAAAAGTTACCGTGTTCACACTTAAAAATCTGTTCCAAGAAAATTTGTCTGAACATAGAATTCCTAGACCACCTAGACGTAACCCAGGTTAGGTCCTGGTTTTACAGATGAGGAAAGAGACTTGGGCAGGGAAATGTGTTCACAGTAGGGTGACTGCAGCCAGAGTCTGTCTCTGCCCACAAGGTGACAGCTTTTAGATTTTTTTCTTTCCTTTTTATTTTTTTTTTTTTGAGAGAGAGTCTCACTCTATCACCCAGGCAGGAGAGGAATGTGGTGGCAACATCACAGCTCACTGCAACCTCAAACTCCTGGGCTCAAGCAATTCTCCTGCCTCAGCCCTCCGAGTAGCTGGGACTACAGGCATGCATCACCACGGCCAGCTAATTTTTCCACTTTTTGTAAAGACAGGATCTTGCTATGTTGCCCAGTCTAGTCTTGATCTTCCGGCCTCAAGCAATCCTCCTGCCTCAGCCTCCCAAATTGCTGGGATTACAGGCATGAGCCACTGCACCAGGCCTAGAATCTTCCATTCTAACGTCTTCAGTTCATGCCAGGCCTGCACGCTGTCCCCTGCTCCTTGACTCTGGCCCATTGATCAGGTGGTGGAGACGCTGGGACACTTGTGTATGGGGGTCCCACGTGGGCTACCTGGGTTTATGCACTGGAGAGAAAGGTCGCAGGAATGACGTCAAGGTGCACACAGCACTGGCAGGAGCAAGACCTTGGGCTTCTGAGAACCACTTCCTTTTGTCTGAATTATGATTCATGAGCATGGCCCCATCAAGGACACACAGCCCCTGGAAAGGGCACCCCCCAGCCCAGTGGACTCTGCTGATGGCTTAGCTATGGTGGCATCCAAACTCCACAGAGTCCGCACTGGCTAGCGGGCATCCTCAAACTACAGCCCGTGGGCCACATGCCGCCCACCTAGGACATTTATCCGGCCCGCCGGGTGTTTTTGCCGCAGCTGCCTGTTCTGCTAGCAGCCGACTCGTCCTGGCCCACAGTGCGCACTCTCCAACGGTCTGAGGGACAGTGAACTGGCCCCCTGTTTAAAAAGTTTGAGGTCTCCTGGGCTAGAGCCAGGACAAGTGCTGTGGGGGGGACAGGGCATGCATGCCCCTCTCCCATGTGGGGACTCGCCCATCTCAGAGCTAGAGCTATCCAGCTAAAGGCAGGATGCGGAGAAACCAAGATTAGAACACTAAAGGGTCACTTTTGGAATGCATGTCGTCTAATCTGAACCAGAGACAAGAGACAGTTGCACCTGCTGAGACGGGGTGGGCTCTAATTCTGTCAGTTTCCTCCTGGGTCCAAGCCTGGCCAAAGGCCCTCTGAAGCTTTGAGGACAGCAACACCAACCTTTGGTGGCCCCTCCCCGCAGACCCCACCTCCTCGAGGGTCCTGTGCAGGGGCTGCTTTGTCCCGGTCACCCTTAAATCACAGGCAGAGTGGAGGCCTCCGCAGCTCACTCAGAAGTACCCAAACGCCAAGCATTCCCTGCGGAGTTCAGGGTCCCGTGGTGGCGGTGGCGTGGCCAGGCCCGCTCTCCAGCTCAACCCTCCCCACAGGCAGAGGGCCACAGGGAGCAGCAGCTGAGTCAGCTGGATCAGGCGCTGGAGTGAGAATTCCTTTTTTGGAAGCCAGGCAGTCACTTCCCAGGACAGCAGAATCCTTGGGAAGTGACGCAAGCCCAGAGTTAGCAGAGGCAGTAGCTGCGGCTCCCTGCCCCCCGCTGCTCCCAGCCTGGGTGGGCAGGGCCCAGGGCCAGCTCCTTATACAGCAAAGGTTTGAGATCTGGGAGGCCTCTGAGCAATCTTTGTGATACTCTCTCTACCGACAGCAGTGCTCATTCCTGAGGATGGCTGAAGCAGAGCTGGGGAGATAATGAAAGCACCTGGATTTTTGAGATGTTAAAACGCAAAAGGAGGCTGTCTTTCCAGGAACGCCACCTGGACCCCTTTGCCCCTCCTGCGGGAGGGCTGTGGGCCCGGCTTGGCAGACGCTGCCCAGGGCCTGCACGGGCTGGAAGCCGTGCCTGGGACGGCAGAGAGTCCAGGCTGGAGGTCTGAGCAACGGCCAGGAAGAGGGGCTGGCGGGGTTGGGGGACGTGGGGGATGTTTTCTTCTCCTGGGGTCCCAGGACCCCCTGCGGTGTCTTTCACTGGCCCAAGCTGGTGGCTAGGAAAGGAAAAAGGCCTCCGAGGCAATGCTTCTTAAAAGGCAAAGATTTGCACCCTAGCATCTGTCCCCCTTACGCTAGGAGCTGCACCTAGTGTCCCTCCAGAGGCCCTCTTCCCCCAGGCCATGTGCTGGGGCCCATCCTTCCCTGTCTGCAGTGACTATGGGAGGGCGTCCAACAAGGACCAGATGCAGCTCAGAGCGTCCTGGGGAGGCCCCCCAGGGCCCCCCCAAAGCCAAGGCCAACTTGGAGGAAAGCAGAGCCAAGAGGTGGGGGCGACAGATTCCAGACAGCTTTCCTATGCAACAAGCTTCCCTCAGCTGGGCCGGGGACGCAGGGCCAACCTCCCCCCATGACGGCTCGGCCATAGCAGACATCGAAGCTAGGTTTTAAGCAGTTTGGGTCTGTTTGTTCGTTTTTTAAGAAAAAGGCTGAAAGTGTGCCTAAAGACCTCCAAAATTTTGGGCCCTTCAGCTCTAGGGCCCCTTTAGGCTCATTAAAGACACACATTAAAAACACACACAATAACATTTGACAGCTCAATATTTTCAAGTATGTTAAAGACTTAAAAGTGATTATAGCTGTTAGCAGGACATTTCTGGCTGAGATTTGCTTCTATATAAAAGTATTGTTTGCTTTTTAGAGAGACGGAGGACACAAGGAAGCATTACATGCTAGAAGAGTGATTCTTGCGCTGGGCTCACTGCAGGCGCTGAGGCACCAAAGGGGTCCAGGCTCTGCAGGTTGGTCCTGCCCTGCGGCCTGCGGAGGCCCCGCCCCGCCTCACTACCCCACCTCAGGTGTCATCACACCCTCTCGGTCACCTGACACCACCCCTGAGCGGCAGCAGCCTGCAAGTGCATGTGGTTAAGAACATTAAAGCATCTTCGAAACTGTCACGCCAGAGAGCATTTGGGTCAGGAAGCAGGCTGAGCCCTCTGCAGCCCGCAGCCCTTTCCGTACGTGAACCAGCCCCAGGCGTGTGACGCAAGGGAGGGCCGCTCTTCTGTGTCACCCAGCACTCGGAGCATGCATGTGCCCATGTAGACAAGAAAATGTCCGGCTGCCTGGGCAGTGTAGGACAGGAACCGCAGCAAGCTCCTGCAACAGAGGGTGAGAGAGGCATGTCAGGAATTGGGACCCTGGGAACGTGCCCTTCCCTGGCACACGCGCCACCTCACCACGCTCAGGAGAGGGCGCTCACGCCCGGGAGCGTGGCAGTCCGAGGAGCACCACTCTCGGGGCATGCACGGCCGGGGCTGGGTGGAGTTGGTCTCTGCGAGCTCCCCGAGACCCCAGGACGCCTGGCTCCCACGACCCAATGTGGCCTGACTGCCCCGTGCCGAGAGAGCTCTGCATGGCAGCCCCTGCTCCTGGGCGCGTGCGCTGCGTCCCGTCCTGCCCTGGCACCTGCTGGAGCTCGTTAGCAGTGTCCGCCAGGTCAGGCGGCAGAAGTCAGGCTGAAGGAAGTCTCAGCAAAAACGGAACCGTGATCCCAGGATCCAGTTCGTCGAAGGCAGCTGGCATATTCCAATTCGTTCCCAAAGCTACAGGGAGGGACAGCTTTGCCCTGCCCTGCCCTCCCCGTTCTAAGGCCGAGTCTGGCATCAGTATTATGGTGGACTGAAAACCAAATTTACAAGCGTTTTCACTCAAGCTCTTTCTCTGCCCCGCCCAGAGCGAAAGGGCTTCACCCCTCACCTGGTGGGGGCTTCACCCCTGACTGGTGGGGGCTTCACCCCTGACTGGCGGGGGCTTCACCCCTCACTGGCGGGGGCTTCACCCCTCACCTGGCGGGGGCTTCACCCCTCACCTGGCGGGGGCTTCACCCCTCACCTGGCGGGGGCTTCACCCCTCCAACTGGCGGGGCTTCACCTCACTGGCGGGGGCTTCACCCTCACCTGCGGGGTTCACCCCCTCACCTGGCGGGGGCTTCACCCCTCACCTGGCGGGGGCTTCACCCCTCCACCTGGCGGGGCTTCACCCCTCACTGGCGGGGCTTCACCCCCTCCACTGGCGGGCTTCACCCCTCACCTGGCGGGGGCTTCACCCTCACCTGGCGGGGCTTCACCCCTCACCTGGCGGGGGCTTCACCCCTCACCTGGCGGGGGCTTCACCCCTCACCTGGCGGGGGCTTCACCCCTCACCTGGCGGGGGCTTCACCCCTCACCTGGCGGGGGCTTCACCCCTCACTGGCGGGGGCTTCACCCCTCACTGGTGGGGCAGCAGGCCGCGCCGCCGTGGCAGGGGCTGTCTCTCCAGCGCCCGGTGCCGTCAGGCAATGAGATCAGCAACAACAAACTGGATTTTCTGGTCAAGAATGATGTGGCTTAGGTGGGATGTAGAGTGAGGTTTACTTTTTTCATTGTACTTTTCTAAGTTCTCATAACTCTCTTGTCTCACTTTAAAAATCAAAGAAGAAAGCCATTTCCTCCCATCCCAGCAGGACGAAGCAGGTCTCCGGGAGCGGAGTGCTGGCCGCTGCCACGACAGCCACACGGCCGGGCCGGGCCGGCGCTGAGGGCTCCGGCTGTGAAGCCGAGGCCAAGGAGAAGCCCCGCCTGCGCTGACCGAGGCGGGCCTGGGGCTCTGCGAGGACGCGGGCCGGGCTCCAAAGCCGTCCCCCCTCCGGCAGGGCCGGCCAGAGCGCGGCCTCCCCGTGGGCAGAGAGAAGGAGCTGCCGCAAGGAGCAGCAGGCAGGCCCTGCCCGGTTCTTCCACCGGCCTCAAAGACCCTCCCGCTGCGGTCAGCCCCTCTCCTCCTACCCACTCCCTCCACAGAGAGTTAGTTCTTTAGAGAGCAACAGTGAATTTACTGGAGGAGGAGAAGCAGGTGCATTTAGAGCCTAGGCAATCGTAAAGAACTTGGAAGCAACCTTCTCATTTTAAATATGATGCAACTGAGGCTCAGAGAAGTTAAGTGACCTGTGACAGGTCACACAGCTGGTGACTCAGAGAAGGGCCGGGCGGCAGGGGCACAACCCTGGTCATGGAGTAGGGACACCCAGGGAGGGCTCCTTTGGCCACATGGAATTTGCTCAGCTATGTCCGTGGTGCGGACTTGGACTCTGTCTTCTAAAGGCCCTCTCTCCTGGGACGCTGTGCAGCCAGCCTGGCCCCAGCCTTCGGGCTAATGGGATCCTGGCGTGGTGTGGAGGAGGAATGGGCCTGTGCCACATTACAGGCAAGGTCAAAGTTCACAGTAATACGGAGGGCACATGCAGAAGAGGATGGGTCATGGGGTAGGAGGCTGCTCCGGGCAAGCCAGGCCAGAATCCGCATGGCTCCAGTTTCAGTCGTCACTGCTCAGAATTAAGCTGCTAGTTCTTAACAGAAATTTGGTTCTTCTTTATCTTTATTACTTAGCTTTTGTTTCCATTTAGTATTTGATGGTCTTTGGAGGAAATAAAAGTTCTGTGTTGGCTTAAGACTTCCTGTTTTGTGAAATAAGCGGTCAGCCCCTCTCCTTCTACCCACTCCCTCCACAGAGAGTTAGTTCTTTAGAGAGCAACAGTGAATTTACTGGAGGAGGAGAGTAGGTGTATTTACAGCTCAGACAATCGTAAAGAACTTGGAAGCAACCTTCTCATTTTAAATATGATGAAACCGAGGCTCAGAGAAGTTAAGTAACCTGTGAAAGGTCACACAGCTTATGCCTGTGGCATAATACCACGTGAATTAGAATGCTCCTAATGACAACAGCAGCAGGCCTGTGGGTGCTCCTGGAGCTGGACCTGGGAGTACAGAGGAACAAGGTGGGGACAGGCGAGCTGTGCTGGCCCTGTGCAGCTCCCACAGCCCGAGGTTGACCCCTGGAGCTGGTACCTCAGCAGGGCCTTGAGCCCAGTGCACCGGACGTCGTAGGACACAGAGTACATCTCATACACCGTGGCTCTCACGTTGAGGCAGCCGATGAAGTCCTTGGGGTTCAGCTTGTATAAATCAAAGGTGACCCTTGCAATCCCCGATTTCTTTGGCTGCTGGCGAGCTGGGACATACCTACTACCCTACAGTAATGAAGGGAAGAACAGACTTTAGCAGCATTCCAAACCATGACATTCAAACTGCAGAATTCTGGTTTTATGCTAGCTTCAGCTTCTCCTAAAGGGCCATTTAAAATCTGTTATTGACGAAGCAGCTAATTGCTTGAGAATGTTTTTGGCAGAACAATGCGCTTGTACTATTATGTCCCGATGCCTAACCAAATACCCTTCCCTACTCTGCTTTCAGGTCAGTGACTCACGATGAGTCTGACTTGGCTTCAGGGCCCGGGGTCTAGGGTAACTGCTCAGTGAATGGTGGTGACCCTGGCAGATGCCGGGGACACTCACTCCAGCTGGAGGCCACCCTCGGTCCCCTGGCGGCATGGGCCTCTCCTCTCGTGGCCACCACACAGTCCTGGTTATGGAAACGCAGGTAGCATTATTCCATTTCGTGAGCAGCCACTGGGCAGAAAGTGCCAGAATCCCCGTCTGACGTAAGGCGTGGGGCCGCGGCTGTGTCTGCAGTGCCGCTGTGCGCGGCCTGGGCACGGGCGGCCTCCGCGCCTGGGCAGAGGGAGTTGGGAGCTCCACAGGCCCAGGTTCCTGACCGCCGAACACAGGCTTGCCCACAGGAAGACACCCCCAGAGCGCCCACACCCCCAGGGTACCCACAGCCCAGAGCACCCACACCCCCAGAGCACCCACACCCCTAGGGCACCTACACCCCCAGAGCACCCCACCCTGCCGGCTGTTCCCACCCGCAGGGCGTGACAGCGGGGACATGGCCGGCCAGCGAAGCTTCGGTGCACAGGGGTCCTGCCGCCCCTCGAGGGCGCCAACTGTCCCCTAGCTAGGAAACAATTTTAAAAGATCAGGATTATGGAAGCAAAGGGGTTTTGACCTATAATCCCGCCGCACTTCTTTTTCCTGGCCTCACATTCCTTTCTGACTTTCAAACGTTTTTATCTTGCTTTCCATAAATGTCCTCCTTTAGTCTAGGTTTTAAATAAAAACTAAGACACCCTTCCACAGCTACGTGTCCGCCCGTGTCTGGTCGCGTGGGTCTCCCCACGCGGAGACTGGCCAGGGAGGACGGCGCCGCCGCTCCCTCCCCGCCAGGCACGGGGCTGAAGGAGGCTGGGAGCCTCCCTGGAGCGTGTGACCCAGACGGATGGCACCTCAGCACTGGCCTGGACGCAGCAAGGGGACTTAGGCGCGTGGCGCAGTCTCCGGCTCCTGCATGCCGACCCATGTCTCTTTATACAAACAAACACGGAAACAGACGAGACATGCCCTTCCCATCCGAGTCAGTTGTCTACTGCTGCCACCGCAGATCATTAGAAACTGAGCGGCGTGAAGCCGCGTGTCTTGATACCTTCACGGTTCTGGGGTCAGGAGTCCGAAAGGAGCAGGCAGGGCTCGGCCCCCCAGCTGCCAGGGCGCCTGCGCCCCGCCTCCCCCTCCGTCCCGCCTCAGCCCACCCTGCGGCCCCAGCCCGCTCGGGCCCAAGTCTGAGTTTGGTGGGGTCTTCTCTTGATTTACACTGACCTCCCCAGACAGTCTGGGACGGCGCTCCCAGCTCAAGAGCCTTCACTTAACCACATCTACCAAGTCCCTTGGGCGTCAGGACGTGGGCATCTTTGGGGGCCCTCAGGCCCCGTTCCTACCCAAGACTGCCTCTCAAAAGATGTATCTAATTCACCCCACAGGGCATGGTCTCCTCACCTGCTTCAAGATTATTTAAATGTTATGCTTTCTATAATGGATCTGTAGAGTCTGTTCCAGTCAGAACAATTGCGGTGCATATGCAGGAGTGCATGTGCAACATATGTAAGAGGAAGGAACGAAGAGACATAGAGCAAAACCAAACCCTGCCCAGCCCTGGGAGACCCCCGGCCTCTCCTCAGCCCGCCCCCAACCCCTGCCCGAGGGGCTGTCTAGGGGCAGCGCCTCTCCTCACTCTTTCTACTTTTAGCACATGTGTACATTAAACATTACATTGCTAAGTTTGCATACTTTTTAATTATCTATAAATGGTTTAACGTGGAGGTTCTCTGAGTGTGGTCTCCTATCAGCGAAGGCAGAGGGCAAAACAATTCTCCTAGTGAACAGTGAGGTGTCATTTGCCCCTTCTGTTCTCATGAGGAGTGGTGCTTCCCACTGCAGATTTGGGAAATCTGCCTAACTCGGTGAACCAGTATTTTCTAAATGACCAATGCCCAGTGTTACAGCTACGAATCATCCTTGGGAAAAGATCCCTTCAAAGTGCAAGACACACCCACGGACTGGAGTCACAGAGGCGGCTCCACGACACACATCTGTTCAGACTCCGAGGTGCACTGACCTCCCTGAAGCCAGCACACGCGAGCCCTGGCGCAGCGTCAGAAAAGAACGTGCTCAGTTACCTGAGAAGACTTAATGTCTGTCCTCCTCCCTCCCCAGCTGCACGCCTGTGTCCGGCCAGGCTTTCTCCACACTTCCGTCAGGACAGTAATTACAACAGAGTCAATACAGAAGAAGATAGAAGAATTCAGCTGTCTTCCACTAAGTTAGACATTAAAGAGATGTGCAGAAATGGAAAAAATGTCACTCTTCACTCAATCTTTGTGCTTTGGAAAATAGTCATTTTTCATAAAAATATGTGATTTAAGTTAACCTGTATTGGGTTATTATTTTTAATGAATTAATACATATTTTTAAATTTTTCCATTTTAATTTCTTTTTTAAAAAAATCTACTTATTAGTAACTTCTTAACAATTTTAATTTCTCATGTTGGGAATGTCTATATCCATGGCTTATAGTTTCTCCGTCCTGACACTACTGCCACTGGGGCTGGACTCCTTTCCTGGGGGGCTGTCCGTGTTGGGAAGTGGGGGGCAGCAACTGGAGCCTCCACCCCTGCTCAGCCATGACAGCCAAAATGTCCCCCAAGAGGCGACATCTTCGCGTTTGAAAACCTCTGCTAGATATCTACAGCCTATTGATCTACAACCCACATAAATGAAAACTACCTGGGGTCCTCATTAAGTTTTTTTTTGTTTGTTTTTTTGTTTTTTGAGACAGAGTCTCACTCTGTTGCCCAGGCTAGAGTGAGTGCCGTGGCGTCAGCCTAGCTCACAGCAACCTCAAACTCCTGGGCTCAAGCGATCCTTCTGCCTCAGCCTCCCGAGTAGCTGGGACTACAGGCATGCACCACCATGCCTGGCTAATTTTTTCCATATATTTTTAGTTGGCCAATTAATTTCTTTCTATTTATAGTAGAGACGGGGTCTCGCTCTTGCTCAGGCTGGTCTTGAATTCC